TACTGTCTGTCTGACCATCTTAAACAGATGGTGCCTTTTTGGGACCTTCATTATCTCTTGATTTTCTCACCTCCCTTCCCCCCAAATCTTGGTGTGGTCCTATAAGTTCTGTTTTTCTAAGACCCTTCTGGGCAGGCATCTTTAGCTGATGCCAGATCAAGAGTACTTCTGGGCACACACATGGAGATGGGGAAGACGATGGGGATGATGCCCTTTGACGGGTTTGCAGAAATCACACACACGTCCGTATCGGCACTGTCTTCAGAAGTAAGTGTGAGTAGAACGTGTGCTGTGCCCCTAACCCCACATACCGTTTTTGAACAGAATCCAAGGACACCAACCCCCCAGATTCCACTTGGGCCCTGCCATCCCCCCTAGAACTGAGTTGTTGTTGTTTTTTAAAGAGTGCCCTCTCTTCCTACATATCCTTGCACCGATAACCAGAATGGGTTTTCCGCGGGTCCATAACCATCATCGTCACATAATTTTTAACATAAACTTTACACTATATACAATGTTATTTGGATAATACACTTATGTGTGAATTGTAGAAATCAAGCATGTGTATGATATGTACATGTGTACCCGAGCATTGGTATTCACAGGATAAGTGCATTTTACCACGTCTGATGTCTATCGAGTGGGAAGCTGACCTCATCGGATAGGACTAGATGTGAACACAGCATGATGTGAGGGGGTTGAATGGAAAAGCACAGCTGAATTTTGGTACAGACCCCACCAAACCTCTCATTCAGCACTTCCAACCCTGTTGGCCAAAGGAATGTGAGGCATCCGGAAGGCCTAATTTTGTCTCAGGTGGAAATAAACACTGCTTTTGCATTGAAGACCGCCTTTACGTGGAACCCTGGACTCCCATGAAATACCGACCAATAAGTTTTGTTGCCACACGTGCCATTTTTTTTACCCCTAGAACTCTGAGTTCTGCCCACGTTCGTCGCGGTCAAACGCACACAGCCTCTGTTTCAGAAACAACTCCTCCCCTTCGCAAGGATTCCTGAACAACAGCTCTGCACAAAGAAACAGTACAGGGATGTGCCTGAAGTTAACAAATATATTCAGCTCTTCTGAAAGATATTTTGGTTTCTCAAATGAGTATTTAGGTCTTATGCCATAAGGGATTTCAGTGCAAGGTATTTATTTATACGGCAACCGATTATTAGAGCTGCACTTCTTAGGTTGAAAGGACATAAATTTTTAATCACCATTTAATTAACACCAACTTTGTTTTTTTGTTTGTTTTTTTTTTCCTTTTTCATTAGCAATTCTATTTGCCAAGAATTCAGGGCATTTGTCATTTCCTGAGAAGGACGCAGAATATTAAACACACATCACTGGCAGACATATCAAATAGAATAAACAATGTGGGGCTGTATGACTGCTATGGATCTGTTGACTAATTAACAGCCTTGGCTAGAGTCCCATTTAAGTGAAACTATTTCATTTGTAAACAAGGTGTAATTTTCTTGTTCCTTCCTTGAAAATGAGTGTGAGTCGATTTGACTGATTTTTGCTGCGATGATCGGTTTCATCAGAACAGCAGAGGGTGAAAACTTCTTAGGCTCTCTGCAACAGGGAAGAGAAACCTAGTCTAATCCACGAGACACCCAGTCACGTGGCTGGCTGTAATGACAAAGTGAGATGTGCAGAGGACAGAAGAGTGGGGAGATCATAATCCCGCACCTCTCAAGGAAGCCTCACTGGCAGAAACACAGACGCACGAGGAACCTGTCTTCTCAGATCAGTGAAGCCAGAAGTGGCCTAAGGCTGTAAGGATAGTGAGGACTCTTTTTGAGAAACTCAAAGGTTTCCAGGGTAGAATTCATGCCCTAGAAGGCCCTCCTCTTACAGACTGTTTTAAGCTGGGCCTGTGTATACTGTTACCGATCAACAGGAACGTATGGATCTGCATTCAGAAGTACGAGCCGGATCCCTCTCAAGTAGAGAAGGCCAGTTAGGGTGGCCAAAGTACCATTATGGTGACTTGAGTCCGGTGAAACTCAGGCACAAATTTGGGTTCAGAGATTCTGGCTCTTTGAGATCTAAGATCTCAAGCTGGAATGTCAGCGGAACCGTCTGTGATGGGTCCAGAGTCAAGGGCTTCCTATTTATGCCTTGATAGGCTTCTGCAAAGAACAGAACTGACTTGATTACTTTGGAATTGCTCCGCGTCATTATCTTTCTCTTGGCAATTGCCCATCTGATTCGACGGTCAATTTTCTGATGTTTGCGATCATCACCGTTGAGAGTCAACAAATTTGGAAAAGAGGGAAATTATACATTCATTATATATAGCATTCCAATCCTCATTGTTTAGTTTGTTTAAAAAAAACACTTTGGGTATTAAAGGAAGCACGTGTTTTTTTCAGTATGTTACTGTTGGTTCTTCCAAAAGCCCCATCTTTAGTTTCTTTACCTAGATAAACATGGGGTTAACAGCGGAAATTAGGCTGTTGTTAGCAGGAGGGTTTTTGATCTATGGGATGTTATGAGTGTAAGTCACCTTCTCCCTGGAGGTCTCTGTCACAGTTGGCAGCCCCCTTGGGTTTTGAGGACACGGGAAGAAGACAGAAAACCTCTTTGGGATGATGACACAACACTGCCGTGTGTGCTGGGGAGACTTTGTAATTCATTTCATGTCATGACACGCCAGTCTTGTGAGGGAAGGAGGTGATCCTGACTGGGGGGAATGTAGGTCTGGAAAGCAATGGGAGGGCAGAGGCAGAAAGTTCTAAAAGACAATACAGTCAGGGCTGTGCCTAAGACCGGAAATGGATATGGGGCTCTCGCAGTCTAGGCTTCTCCACTGTTGGCTCTTGGGCAGCAGAAGCATACCATCTGAGAAAGAAAATACAATGTCTGAATACGTTTGTCCTCAGCGCCTAGCCAGCCTCTTGGGCCTCTCAACCGCAAAGGTGAAGAGAGGACTTTTGGCCCCTCTGCCTCCCCACCGATGACCCTGAAACTTACTGCGACCACTTCTCATTACTGCTGGGTGCACTGGCCCAACGATGGAGCTATTCAATGAATCCTGAAGCTCTGAAAGAATCGTTCCTGGCCCCACCCCCTGGCAGGAAAACCCTGCCTACAAGACAGAACGTGCCATGTGTAAAAGAAACAGGGTAGCTACCCCTCCGTCCCCTTCTCTGAGAAACCGAAGCAAAATGCGGGAGGAAACCAGGAGACTGTCAGGTTCATCTTAGCTTAGGGTTTCCACAGTATCTTGTCCAGCAGACTCAGCTACTCTACAGAACCTGAGGCCTAGTCATCCCAGAGATCTCAGGGGCGATAATGAATGTAAAATAACCTAAATCAGAACTATATAAAATGTGCAACTAACATTGTTTGTGGGGGTTATAATATTTAGTTTTTAAACTAGGAAATTCTGATAAAGTGTCAGAACATAACAACTACCTTTTTGAGGGGGGGCACTTGGTGTGAGCGAGGCACTGTGCCAAGAGCTTCTGATGCTGAAGCTTCCCCTCCTCCCCGCACTGTTTTTTAAAGGTGTATCATTTCATATCACACACGCACAGATCTGAGTAAAGCAAGAAACGGACAACGGGGGTGGCTCGGAAATGACAAATGCTCTGGGGAGTTTGTCATAGATCTCTGTTGGTGCTGGTGAAGCACTGTGCCTCCAATCGAGCGAGTATTTCAGAAGAGAGTAATCGTGTTTGCCACTAAAGTTTATCCACGATTTTGGAGGATGCTCAGGGTCGATGCATGAGGGTCTCTCATGTTTTGAAGGCTTTTGATCTGAGGAGGTTGGGGTGGGAACGAATGTCCAACTGAATTTCATGAGGTTAAGGACAATTAACCTAAACGCGTGCCAGCCTTCAGTGGACAGACGGCATCGTACTTTTTACAGATCACGGTACACACGTGGCTGCTGGCATATGCCACGATGTTGACAACCCTGGGAACAGTGACACACACTTGGACTCCACCATAGCTGTTCGGGGACTGAACGAGTGATGGTCACTCTAGGAGGTAAGGGGTAACAGATACTATACAACCCTGAGTCGTCACCAGAAGGGGGGGGGGGGACACAGACTTACGTACATAGGAATCTTCGGGATAAACTACAACAGCCTCTGTGTCCAGAGACAGAAGATCCACAGATTAGGTGTCGGAGACATACACGTATCGGTTTGTGCAGCTCTGAACAAGACCATCGAAGCCAAGGGTGAGAGAGTGTCTGTGAAACACACATGTTGACATCCAGAGAGATTCTCGTCGTTCTCCGTCTGAGGGCCCTCCTGGCCTTTTCCTCCAGATGAGTCTTGGAAACAGACTCTAGTGAAGGTAGCATGGTTACTGTGAACACGGGAATTTGCGATTCTTTGTGTGTGTGGTGGTGGTGGGGGGCGGGGAGCCTGGGGTTGGTTCTGGGGTCGGGCCGGGGCAGTGACGGGAGGCATGACACTAAAGCTGGGACGGGTACAAAGCCAAACTTCCTCATCTCTTGCACGTCCATCTCGCTGCGGTGCAGACGCGTTCGTAACTGCTGTGTCTGTGTCAGGTTTACATGCGTACCATATTGCTTATTCTGGATGAGAGAGACCGTTAGGCATTTCTGATGAGGAAATCACATGGTGGACTGGTCTTCGTGGACTTTGGAATATAGAAAATCATAACATCACCACTGGCCTCCGACGCATCGTTATTGCCAACATCCCTAGAGGGCGTGTCCCGGAGACCTGCCCTATTATTTATTATTTATTTGCTTTGCTTTTTTTTTTTTTTTTTTTTTTTTTTTTTTTTGGTTAAGGACTCACCTATCCGGTATCTGCTATGCTCAGCACACGCCTCACAAGATTCCTTGAGGGGAAGACTATGTATGGCGTGGAGCCAGGTGCAAAAGAACCAACAAAAAAAATACCTTCTCTTTGCAGGCACCATCGGACATCCGACATTTACCCTCCAGAACGTTGGCCGTTACGTACGTTTCCCTATAGATAAAACATTAATGGAAGGTTCTAAACATCAGATTCGATACTAGGCATTTTCTTGTACACACGTCTACTGCTGCAGGAATTCAAAACCCTGGGGGTGGAGTACATATTGTTCTTATTTGCAGCATAAGGCCTGACATGCTCTGAGATATACACGTCGTCGTGGCCTCTACTGTCCCTGGAACAGTACGACGCTGTGGACCTCAAGGACGATCGAAGGTAGCTGTCATTCACGGCCTGGGATGGCAGCGAGTGTTTGTAAGGGTCCGAGGGGCATCTCCCAATGACTAAGCGTCGCTCGTCCCCATGGCAGCGGAGGAAAGGGTTCTCGGAGGTGTGGTCCGGCAAGAGAGACTTGCTCCGTTTGCTGTCCTGCAGACCCTGGGGTAAGAGGGAGCTTTTGTTCCCCAAGAGTTTGCTTGAGGGCACGCTACAGAGACTCCCATACAGGTTTCCCTCCAGAAGCCGTTCCCGGTCCTTGAGGCTTATGCTCCTGGAGGGCCTGCTAAGGTCTGTCTCCCGAGGTTTGTCGAGAATGTTGTCGTAGGAGTGCTGACGGCTGATCCTGAGTTTGTTCTTCTGGAACTGGAGGGTGCTGTTCTGCGCCCAGTCCTGCTGGTAGACCTCCTCCTGGGCGGCCGGGCTCCCTGTCTCCTGGAGCATCTGGTCTTCGTCGATGTCGTACAGGTTCCCCATCCGCAGGCAGGCGTCGCACTTGAATGGGGACCTCATGGTGAAGTGGCCGGAGTAGGTGGGCAGGTTGGAAAGGCAGCTCCTGCAGTGGGTGGAGTTCTGTCGGTACCGCTCGCTGCCCTCGCTGTGAGGGGGACTCTTGTCTTTCAGGGTGAAGTGCTTGGAGTAGAACTTATACTTGTCATTGTTGGGGGGTCCGTCTTCATTGTGCAGGGGGTTCCTGGTGGCCGGCAGCGCGGGGTCCCCCTTGCGGAAGTTCTCGTCGTGGTCTGGGTAGGCGTCTGTAAACTCCACGTTCTCGGGAAGGGCCATATTCTCAACGAACTGGGGAGGGTCTAAGTGGAAACTGGGCTCCTTCTCACCATCGATGGTGTAGATCTTGTCCCTGGGGGAGCTCGCTTTGGTTTTCAGGTAGGAGCGCTCGACCTCACTGCAGTCCTTGGGGTATTTGGAGGCTGCTGACCTTTTGAAGTTGTCCTTGGTCTTGTGGTTCTTGTTGTTGTCTGGCTCTCTGTGGCACGTGGCCCGACTCGAAGTTTCCGAGATGTCCGAATGGGCCACCTCTTCTGGAAGGTATCTAGGACTCTTTAGGGAGTGGGTCCTGTTCTCCACTGCTCCCTCGTCCCTCTGGGAGACAGGGTTCTGGCTCAGGGAGTCTTGGCGCAGTGACTCCATGGATTTCTTCCAAAGCTGCCGGGGCCTGGAGTTGGCTTTGGATTCTGTGCTCACGGCCACCTCCACCGTGTTGGGGTTGGACTCATTGAGCGTGAGAGGGTGCTGTCCCTGGAACACATAGTTATTGAGGCTGTCCTTGTGCCTATTGGCCACGAATGTTTGCAGTTCGTTCATGTTGTCCCCAAAAATGGTGTCTTTCCCCTGAAAGGACCTGTTGTCTGAATAGATCAAATTTCCCTTATCTGAAACCATGTCCATGATGAGGGAACCTCTTTGGATGAAGTCTCCAGCCCTTTTGGGGGAATCCATTCTTGAGGAGTTCATGTTGGACATGTCGGAGATGTTTTTGGCTGACCGAAGGAGTTTTAACATGTTGCTCTGGGATCCGGTCAGGTTGAAGTCTGGAGACTTCTTCTTCTCTTCGATGTGCACTCCATGAATGCAGCTGTAAATGCCCTGTGGGAAAGAACACGAGACATCATCAGTGGCAGCAGGGACAGAAAAACACTGCACACCCAGGCTTTACCTGCGAAGGTGAGATGTGTCCTTCTGGGAGGAGCCTTGGAGAGATGGCGAAATCCAATCTGAATCCTGGTACTGTTTCTTAAATGTACCAGACCAGTGGCAAAGTGCCCGGCTTCTCTGGTCTCCCTGGCTCAAGATGATCTGACACTTTTGCCTGCGACACTCACACACAGAGTTTGAGAGAAGCTATCGACTAACGGTCACGTAACCATACAGGTCTCAGTGCCTCCACGGTGGAACCTGGGGTACTGGATTGATATGTGGGTTGCTAACTCATCTTTCCCCATGGTTTCTCAGGATCATCTTTGGAGTGTGGATACCAGGGTCAGTTATTAAACTGGCATGGGGCCCCTGGGTTGCTCAGTCGGTTGGGTGTCTGACTTCGCCTCAGGTCATGATATCACGGTTCGTGGGTTCGAGCCCCACGTTAGACTCTGTGGTGATGGCTCAGAGCCTGAAGCCTGCTTCAGATCTGTGTGTCCTTCTCTCTCTGCTCCTCTCCTACACACACACACACACACACACACACACACACACACACACACACTCTCTCTCTCTCTCTCTCTCTCTCTCTCTCAAAAATGAATTAAAAAGCATTAAAAAATAGAATAAACTGGCATAAAAGGACCACCCATTATTAATTCTTCAGGGGAGCTGCCCCAGCAACACACAGAAGCTGTCCGTCAAGGCACGAGACCCAAGCAGGTCAACCAGAAAACCCTTTGTGGTCACTCTAAGGGCGGACATCAAATCCATGGGTGATCAATCACACATTTTGGGGAAGGATAGATACAGAAGCTGGAATAAAAGGAGCAGACGCGGGGAACTAGTCTTGTCACCATGTGGGGATGTTAGCCTGAGAGTGAAGCCATCATAGGAGGGAGCACGGTACAGGGGATGGAGAGACAGGACATGGTAGGAACCCCTGGGGCCGCCACTTGGGACTTTTTGCTTATGCCGCTTAATATATTCCGTGTCTGTGTGTGTGTGTGTGTAAGAGAGAGTGTTTCTGTGCATCTCTGTGCCGCGTGTGGTTCCTGCTTACCTGCTGCCAGGAGGCAGGGTCTCCAGTGTGCGCCCCTGTGGCTGCTGGGTGATGGGATCACCCAAATGCACTGTGCAGTTCACAGCACGGTGCTTCTGAACCTGGCCTGTGAACCCGCACCTCCCACCCAGCTCAGTAACATGGGAATCTTACACCCTGACCCAGCGAGATTCGGCTTGTGTGGGTGAAAACTGGTGTATCTCTTGTACGTTTGGATCAACCCAGATCTGTGCCTTGATTTCATTTTGTCAGTATTAAAAAAAAATAGGAGTTAATTTTTGTTGTTTTCTACAGGCGCCCGGCTGGCTCAGTCGGTAGAGTACGCGACTCTTGGTATCAGGGTCGTGAGTTCAAGCCCCACATTGGGTATGGAGCCTACTTGAAAACATTTTTTTTTTTTCTAAATCTGTCATTTTGTTCTAATGAGCTCCCCCCACACTGCTAGAGATTTTAAGAACTTCTGTCCCCCCCTTCCCTGACAGAGCAATATGTTAAAACCAGCTGAGATGGGCTGGCTGTCTGTTTGAGGGGGGCCCACAGAGGTGGTCAGGGGGCTGAGTTATGTTTCAGGAGCAGGAGGATGGCTGCTGACTGCTTTCGCTCTTCCCCAGTTTGCCCTAGGACTCACAGGATACTGGGAAGGCACTTCCAGCTGCTGGAGTGCATGGGGAAGCCTCGGAAAGGAGGCCACGCGATGGACCCAGCCCATACCCCAGGCTTGGGTGCTAGTGTTCTCCCACTCAGTTGACCCACCTTCTTGATGGGCTGCTGAGGAGGAGGGGGTGCATATCAGAGACACACGGAAAGAGCCGGAGCCTGGAACCCACTGGAAGTGAGTCCCAGCTCCACCTGTTAGTAGCTCTGTGACCTTGGATAAGCTCCTGCAGCCTAAAAAAACTGTGTTTTAATATATATTTTTGAGGGGTGGGGAGGGACACAGGGAGAGAGGGACACAAGAGAATCCCAAGCAGAGCCCGACGCGGGGCTTGAACCCATGAGCCGTGAGATCATGACCTGAGCCAAAGGCGAAGGGTCAACTGACCGGGTGCCCACCTTTTCTGGTGCCCTTCTTTTCTGTCACCGTTTACTCCCTCACACACTAGCATGAGACCCCACTGCACACTTTCCCACGGCTGCAAGAAGACGCATGCTACCCTTTACTACCGAAGGTTCGTTCTCCTCGGACAGCAGCCCAGACCCTCCCTCGGCCCTGCCGTGGCTCTCCTCAAGGGCCTCTGACCCCTCAGAACAACTCCTGATGGGGCATGCACCCTACTGCCCTCTGTGGTTCCCTGGAGTCTGGGCTTGACCCCTGATGTATCTTCCAAGGCCTACACGCTTGTGTCCCCCCAACAAATTCACATAATGAGATCCCAACCCTAAAAGTTGATGGTGTTAAGAGGTGGGGGCTTTGGGAGGGGGTTAGGTCATAATGGTGGGGCGCTGGCCAGGCAGATGACTGCCCTCGTAAGAGAGGCCCCACATTGCTCACGGCCCTTCCACGTCGTGAGGACACAAGGAGAAGCCTTATGACCCAGAAGGGGACTCTCACTTGACCACGCTGCACCCTGATTTCACACTCCCAGCCTCCAGAACCATGAGAAGTAGGTGTCTGTTGGTCACAAGCCACCCAGTGTGTGGTGTTTGGTGATGGCGGCCCTGGCAGACTGAGGCAGGGTTCTGCTCTCTTGGTCCTGACTGTGGGGGAGCCAGAAGCCCGTCACTGTCCCCAGGATCCCCTCCAAGGAGCCCACGGGACAGGCCGCCACAGTCTCCATCCCGTGGTCTCTGTCTTTGCCACGTCTCCAATTCCTCATGGCCGAAAACCGAGGTGGGTTCTTTTTGCTGGTGACACTGACTATTTTCTTCTAGGGGAGAGGGAGAACATTTTGGAGAGAAAAATTAAGAGCCTCCTGGAGACTAGAGGGCACATTTATTTTTTAACCTGGAAAAGCCAAAGGCCCTGACTGTGGGAGAAACTGGGTTCTCATGTGAAGTGAATGACTTCTTCAAGCTCTGGCCCGCCCCCTTGGCAGGCCAGGAGTGCCCATATGTCCAGTCTGTATTTTGCTGCACTATCCAGGAGCTTCCCGAGGGACATCGAGCCCACGGGGACAGCTGCATGTGTCTGCTGCGTGGCAACAGCTAGGTCCACAGGCTGGGTGTTGAAGGTGCTACCAGAACTGGTGAGTGGAGACCCCTGGCTGCTGTGCAGGAAAACACCTGCCTCGGGTGCAGGCACATTTCAGAGCATCCTGGATCCACGTTCCTACACTCAGAAATGGGCGGAAGCATGCGACCCAGCCCGGTGCACAAGACAGTCCTCCTCTTTCCTGCCTTGTTCTGGCATGATAGGTGAAGCAGGAGACATAACGTGAGGCCGAAAGGGTCCTGTTCCGCCCTTCTCAGCCTCAGTTTCTCCATACCCATAGGATGGGTGTGGTCATGTCACACACACACAGGTGCTGTCAGGATTAGAGATGACAGGGAGACGTCAGTCAGTCACCTGGCCCTTATTCACGTGCTGGGCATGATTCGTTGTGGGGTTGTGATCTTGGCTTGGTAGGAAAGTGGGTTCTTGGCTTGGGGATTCCCCACTGCACGTTTGTTCAAGAAAATGTTGGGGCGCCTGGGTGGCGCAGTCGGTTAAGTGTCCGACTTCAGCCAGGTCACGATCTCGCGGTCCGTGAGTTCGAGCCCCGCGTCAGGCCTTGGGCTGATGGCTCAGAGCCTGGAGCCTGTTTCCGATTCTGTGTCTCCCTCTCTCTCTGCCCCTCCCCCGTTCATGCTCTGTCTCTCTCTGTCCCAAAAATAAATAAACGTAAAAAAATAAAAATAAAATAAACATAGGGGCGCCTGGGTGGCGCAGTCGGTTAAGCGTCCGACTTCAGCCAGGTCACGATCTCGCGGTCCGTGAGTTCGAGCCCCGCGTCAGGCCTTGGGCTGATGGCTCAGA